ACTTTCCACTTTACTAACAACTCATCTGGGCAAACTTTCCACTTTACTAACAACTCACCTGGACAAACTTTCCACTTTACTAACAACTCATCTGGGCAAACTTTCCACTTTACCAACAACTCACATCGGCAAACTTTCCACTTTACTAACAACTCACCTGGGCAAACTTTCCACCGTCGAGGAGCTTGATGGTGTTTACCAGTTTAGGATGACCATAAAAGTGTATTTCTCAAAGCCACCCCAACACTCCGAGTTTAATAAATACTCTTGTTTGTTATTAAGCAGAAAACTACTTAAAGGGCTATCTGCACTCCGACAACCAATGGTATTGAAACCCGCTTACTAACAGTATAATTCCACAGACATGCCACTGGGAGGGCTTCTAATAAATAACTATAACAATTTATTTGTTTATTGCCAAGAGATCCGTGTTATTTTGGGATATTATTCATATTATAGTTTAAGAACTTAAAGCTTTGTAATAACTTGTAACAATATATATATGCTGTGAAAATCACGTAACAATTATACTACAAAACAGAAACGTTAATATCAGGATTCTGAAGAAAACAGTACGTATTATAAATTTCACATGTCGAACATAATTAAGCTCACAATTTGAAAATGTAAAGCTCCAACTTTTATATTCTAGTCCAAACTTGTAACTGAACAATATAAATCCTCGACCCAATAAGTGAGGAAAATACCAGAAAAAAAATTAACTACATAAGTTATCACAAAATCTGCTCAATAATACGACACTTAAACTCTGATTAATTATAATTCAACAATTATAAGCTCTAACTGAATTTCAAACGACGTCTAATCCAAAACTCTATGGTCTTGAACATCTAGCTTCAGTGGTCTTCAGTTTTCTTTTTGTACATATTTTTAGTTGCTACTACAAACACCTGACCAACTTCATTACAGAAAGTGACAGATTTCTGTACAATCATAGAAACACTTAGTTACATTAGAGCTGGTCAATTAGATACTCAATTAATCAGACTTTATTAATCAATTAACTGATTAAACTCACGAGGCTTGGATAATTGAAATAATCAAAAACAATAACAACTGGAAATGCTAATCAAGTCGAACGACCTTTCAAATGGTAGAAGTAAAACCTCATTACAAATGTCTAATTGTTAAGATATCAATAGTATTAAATACTTTTTTACATTAAACTAAACCATAATATATAGATAAGGGTCCATTTGGTTTTTCAAGGCTGTCCTTTCACCCCTACCCTTGAGAAATGGACAAATTTAAAACCCATCCTTTTATGTTTCGGAAAATCATGGACTCTTCTTCTAAATTCTTGTAAATTATTGGCATCTATTATGGCTAACAGTAAGTAAGTTTATAAACCAATCACCCTGTTAGAAAAATAAAACTATCTAACTAGAGTCCAACCTGTTTTTTCAAATCTCAAACTTGTGCCATCTTGTCTTATTGTATTCTGAATACATCATAAAGAAATCAGAAGCTTTTATTATATTGATCCCCCAGATAATCTTTTAAGCTTAACAAGGTCATCTCTTACCTTTCTTTTCTCAAGAAATAATATGAATTAACTCATCCTCATAAGATAACCCCCCTTCTATCCCCAAACTCTGAACCCCTTTTCAATAAGATAAGAAGACCAAAATTGTACTGTATTCCAAACAATGCCTAACTGGTCATTTGTACAGAGAAAAAGTTACCTCTTTTGTAATCAATATTTCTATAAATATCCCCTTGATTCTAATCTTTAATACTAGCAATCAAGCACAACCTCAACTGCTTCAGTGATTTAACTGCCACTACACAAAGATCATTATCATCAGTCACTATTAATATAACCTACAGGAAACAAGGGATTATTTGGTTCTTCAAGGTTGTCCTTGCACACCCACCCTTGGGAAAAGTAAAAATGTAAACAGACTCTTTACTTTTCTGTAAAGTGTTGATTCCCCTCTTAAGTTTCCGAGAAGTTCTTTCCTCCATTATTGTCAACAGCAACGTATTCCATGTGTCAATTACCATGTACAAAAATAAAACTGTATTAACTGGAGCCCCACCTGTCTTTTATTAAATACCTTAAAATTATTTCTCCTTATCAATTCCCTGAATAATCTTAACTTCAATTAGATCAGCTGTTATTTTTCTTTCCTCGACACAAGAGGCTTAGCCTTTCCTTATAATGTAACTCTTCAATCCCTAGAATAATCCAAACATCTTAAACCGTTTCAATAATTCAGTATCCTTTTTTAGATAAGATGACCAAATTTTACACATCTGTATCGAATATGGGATCCAAATTATGAAGCCACTTTTTTTTACTATGCACTTACTTATAATTAAAGGTAAATTTCAAAATATTTTTTACAATATACCAATTGTAGCACCTCAGCATATCTTCAAATACCAACTGTAACACCTCAACATAAATATAAACAAACAACTCCACAACCTGTATTAATCTACTAATTATGTCCCTATCAATATCAAAAAGGCCCACACAATGACTCTGAGATTCTCTGTTACTAACACAGGTTCAATTTTTCTGTAATTACAAAACACTACAGTGTGGGGCTAGAAAAACACAAATAATTAAAAGGCTTAAGTATTTTTGAAATACAATCTCTTCTTTGTGAATACACATTTTTGATGGATTAAAAGAAACTCCTTTCAACTTCAAGCTTAAAAAAGCTACACCATTAATATTGTCTTACTAAAGATTGAATTATTTTTTAACTGAACTAAAAGATGGTATTATTTTGTTCAATATACATTCATATTTATTCTTTTTTTACTGTATTATTATACAATTATTACTAAGAGTTTGTTGAGGTTTACCAAAGCTAAGTTCTGAGAACGGTAACTAAATGTAAAATTAAAGAAATAGATTAACGAGTCTGACGTAAGTCAAGATCCAAGAACTTGAAGATTAGCTACGAACTAAGCGGTCAGTAACTCAGTATTTACTACTACGTAATTGTAATACACAGTACCTGAAATAAATATCATATTTCAATTGGTACTTACCATTGTTATTATGTACACAGTCTCACTTTTTTTGGTCAAATATTATAATAATTACACTTATTCTAAGTTTTTCGTCAAAACTTTGGCTATGTTAACGGTAATTTTGAAATTATTAAAGGTTAGGCTTAAGTTACTTCCTCTTTGTATCCAAATAATTTATCAGCCTCGCCTACTTACTCCTACCGGCAGTACTATGTTGTTTGCCAACGACTAGCAACTCAATTGGCTTTATGCTTCCTGTCACACACAGAGGTTTGCTGCAGGAAGAAAAGAGTTATAACAAAATATAATTAATAAATAAATAACATATATGAATACCACAAAAAATATTATGTTATTAGATCATGTTCACTATACTTCTGAAAGCTTTTCAATATACCCAAAATATATTTTTATACATGAATCTATTTCGGATTTTCTTATGTTAAACACCAACTCCTTCATTTTTTTCAGTGTATCATCAACACTATAAAGGAACGTCGCCACGATAAATATTATCCTACTCTATAACAATTTAATAATAATATACTAACGACAAGAGACCGTTGATCCTTCAAGTCTGTCCCTAATAACACAACCTGGAAAAGAGTTAAAACATAAAGCAACCTTTATTTTTCAGGAAATTATCGATTCCTCTTTTAAACTCTTAATTGTAAAGTGCCAGCCTCCAATATTGCTGACGGCAATTCTTTCCATAACCCAATCAGCCTATTAGAAAATAAAAACATTTTGACTGCAGCCCAACTTGTCATTTATCAGATCTTAAACTTGTGTCCTGTCGCTCTATTGTCTTCAAAATACAGCACAAAGAAATCAGGGACCTTTATCCTATCAATACCTCGTATAATCCTGTAAACTGCAATAAGAAAACCTCTTATTGTTATTTTTTTCAAGAGAATTTAAGCGATCTTACCCTATTCCAATAAGATAATCACTCTCACCATCATAGCAGCCCTCCTCTGAATCCATTTTAATAAGTCCCTATCCTTTATGTTCGTAAATAAAGAGGCTAAAACTGTACACAGTATTCAAAGTGTGGCCTAACTAGTAATGTGTATAAATAGATAATTATCCCATTTGACTTGTAATCAATATGTCTATAAGTACAACCCAAAATTCTATTATAATTGCTACTAGTAACAGAGCACTACTTTGATAGCTTGTTTGTGATTTATTCATCATTATGCCAAGACCTCTTATTCAGTAACATTAGTGAGTGTGTTCCAAGTTATGATAACCCGAATGGATAATCTTGTAGCTACTGTAATTAAAGATCATTTATCAATTATTTGTCTAACTCATTAATGGATCAAAATCATTTTGTAGTACCTCACCATCCTTAATATCCAAGAGTTTAATGTCATCCGCAAACTTTATTAACTTACTGATTATTTCCAATCAAAATTATTAATGTAAATAAGAAAAGCGAAGGTCAAAGTTTTGTACCCTGAAGAACACCATAAGCAATAAGTGCCCAATTTGACTGGCCTATATTAAGAACAACTCTTTGCTTTCTCTCACACAACAATTCATTTTACTAATCCTTTAAAAAAAATCCTCATTGATGTTATTTTCTTAGCTAATCTATTGTGTAGTACCTTATTAAAAACTTTTTCAAAATTTAAATACACCAAATCCATATCCTTTTCATCATCCAGATAACACGTAACATCTTCGTAAAAAATTAACAGATTATTAAGGGAAGATTTCACTTTATTGAATCCTTATTAATTTTCTTTTATAATATATAATATTTCACTAGACGATTTTATAAAGCACCTTTTACCAGTCTCTCTAGAATGTTTCTCACTGCAGAATTAAGACTAACTGATCTATAATTGCTAGGACAACACTTATAATCCCCTTTAAAAATAAGAGTAACATTAGCAATTCTCAGATCAGATACCTGCCTATTCTATATTGATCTACCAAAAATGAAACAGAGGGAGAGAGAGGGGGCTCGTATATCTGATATTGGACCTTTATTATGACTGGAACAGTTTATTTAATTTTCACAAACTTTAGTGGTAAATGAGAAATATGTATTTATATCAAAATATTTCTTTTATTCGTGATAAATGATCTATAAAATATGCATCAGTAATTAATCTTTTTTCTTGAATGAACAAGCTGACAAATACTCGGTTGAAATTACAAAGCAGCTTTCAACATTGTATGTTTTTGACACTTCTGGCGGCAAAGTTATTGATTACAGTAAAAGTGTCAACCTCAGTACTCATCATAATGAGCACATTCAAACAATCCTATTGGAATACGTTTAAAAAATATAATGGGTGCGGGACCCGTAGTATTTGTTACTTATGCGAATAGGCTAATCCGGCAGTGCTAATGGTACTTAATGTTACAGATATCTTGTAAAGTTATTTATAGTGTCTATATTACGTGAAAATGTTGTTTATTTGTTGTTGTCTTTAGTTAAAAATTGTAAAGATATTTCACTAAGAGTGAAGAATATTATTTTGCTCAGGTTTTGAGCTCAAAGACGGCCGTTGGGTACTTAGTAGGTCCTAAATATGAGGATTTGTGTTTTGAGTCACCGTGTTTTCATTATTTCAGAATATATTTAAAGAACCTGTATACAACGAGAACTAGAACGGAAGCTTGTACCAACTTGACCCTTTGTCTGTTTCTACCCACTTTACAAAGAGTGATATTTGTGGAAGTTAATATGGGTTGAAAGGCTCGTTCCCTTACATGTGCATATTTAAGATATTCATTGATGTAGGTAATATATGGATTGTGGAATATCACACTAGGACTTCTGTCTGACTTGAACGTGTGGTATTATGTTATTCTTCTTTTTTTAGAAGCCCTCTCTTCAGCCCCAACAGCTAGTTACAGTCTTACTGTTAAGGGAGGAGTCTGCCGGCAGGTGACAAACTTGCATATCATTGTTCATGGCTATTAATGATCGAGAGACTTTACGAAATACCTAAAACAAGGCTACATTATAACTACGAGTTACTCGATAGATTAGCCGTGAAATTGTACAAGTAAGTTTATTTTTACAATAGTCGTTTGTGATTATTGGGGAGAGGGGGAGCTTTTTTTAAGGGAAATTTGGGGCTCTTAGTTACACAATAACTGTGCACTGTTAGGGCTATGGATACATTTTAATAAGATATGATCAGTTGGTCAAAGTTGTTAAGGTAACTGGAGAATCAGCCACTTTTGGTTGCCCTAAAGTGCGACTTCTTTATTTCCCCTTTGGTGGTATTGGGACTCAAACCACGCAAACTCAGAATGACAGACTAACCGTGGTACCGTGTTTCACCTGAAAAACAAAAGTAACTCGCTACCTATATATATATATACACGTTACGTCTATTATAGTAAGATTAACTTTATGTTTGCACATGACATTGCTTTGGTTTTGTCCTTCAAGTTGATAGACAGTTGTCATGTTTAGTAGCTGAGTGATCAGAGATGAAATAAATGTACCAAGTATGTGAAAACTGTTGGCTAAAATATTGAAACCTGATGATGGAAATCCTTATTGAAACGTTGTACACTTATTATTATGTTAAACTTGTAGTAAGGTTTCTTCCTTACACATTGAAGCCACTTTCAAACTTTTTATCAACACCACATACGGACTAATTGTAGTATTCATACCTCATTCAAAAACATTTAGAAAAAATAAAAATTTGCTAAAAAAAAAGGATTATTCTGGGAGGCACTGCACGGGAAAAGTGTACGGATTGTGCAGATGTAAACTGTAATGTTCTTATATAATAAAAAGTGGTACCCTTTATTGAAAAAAAATAAGTTTTTTTTTACTACTACATCTTTAGTATTATATTTACAAATTACATCAATAAAGATATCATCAAACCTTCACGTAGAGTGTCACTGAAAGTCATGTTATTGTTGTGAGAAGAGTAGTTCTATTTCAAACTATGTTTTAATATAAAGAAATGGTTGTTGCACATACTGTAGTTATTTTTCTAATTGTCTAAATTTTGAAAACCCAGTGTGAAATTTTTTTTATAGAATTTTGTTTGTGATGCCACTCAATAGATGGCGCCATATTGTATTTATTATTTCGGTCACATACATAGATAGGTACACGCAAGTCGGGCTTTTCAGTTAGTAATAACAATTTAAATATATATATTTACACGCATGCTCTTTACATAGAATAATTAGGATTCAATCACGTTCTGTAATTCATCTGGAATTTTTATCTTGAGATGTTATGGAACAAGTTCTTTGTATAATCAAGTAGAGTTTTAAGCCTTTTAAAAAAAAATATATTTCTTTTTCTTTGTATAACCAAGTGGGTTTTTTAAGCCTTTTTTAAAGATCTTTCTTTGGCCTTAAGTTTTGATTAGAATTAACGGTGAAGACTCCAATAGTCAGTATATGAAACTACTTTTGTCATATATTTCCTTGTTTTACAGTATAATGGTGATGATTGTTGTTATTACTTGTAATCTTTCAAATTAAATTAGCTTGAAAAACATCTTCAAACACATACTGCAAGTACAAAAACAGCTGTTATCAAGTCTATTTGGAATAGAGTTCCTAACCTGTTCTCCAAGACCATATTTAAATATATCAAACAGATAAAAACATAGAGTCTACTTTGTGTACTCCAATCTTTGTTTGTAGGGTGACAGTCTGCTTTGTAGGGTGACAGTCTACTTTGTGTACTCCAATCTTTGTTTGTAGGGTGACGGTCTACTTTGTGTACTCCAATCTTTGTTTGTAGGGTGACGGTCTACTTTGTGTACTCCAATCTTTGTTCGTAGGGTGACAGTCTGCTTTGTGTACTCCAATCTTTGTTTGTAGTGTGACGATCTGCTTTGTGTACTCCAATCTTTGTTTGTAGGATGACTGTCTGCTTTGTACTCCAATCTTTGTTTGTAGGGTGACAGTCTGCTTTATACTCCAATCTTTCTTTGTAGGGTGACGGTCTACTTTGTGTACTCCAATCTTTGTTTGTAGGGTGACAGTCTACTTTGTGTACTCCAATCTTTGTTTGTAGGGTGACGGTCTACTTTGTGTACTCCAATCTTTGTTTGTAGGGTGACAGTCTGCTTTGTGTACTCCAATCTTTGTTTGTAGGGTGACAGTTTGCTTTGTGTACTCCAATCTTTGTTTGTAGGGTGAGTCTACTTTGCGTACTCCAATCTTTGTTTGATGAAGGAGTCTAACGAATGAGTAAAAATGAAAGTTGAGTACAAATGTACCCATATTTATCTCTATATGTTTCGTTTCTACATTTGTACTAAAGGATTAAGAATGCTAAGACACTAAAAATGATACATACATTTTATAGTGATACTTCATCTGAATGTTCCTAATGAGAAAGGGTTTTATACATCCTAAAACACACACACACACACACACATGCATATATAACCAGGTAAATTATATATTCATGAGTAATGAAGAGATTATTTAAGCTTCATAATTATTTTACAATGAATTAACAAACATTCAGGCTGTCATCAACCAGACGAAACAACTGTGCATGTGTGCCACTTCTTAATGCGACATCATAAGCCGTGTCTCCTGACTGCATTTTGAGTGTGCAGTCGGTTTCTGGCTGCCACAGCAAAAGTTCTAAAGTACGAGCACTCTTTCCGTGCGCAGCTGCCAGATGTAAAGCCGTTAGTCCTCCTTGAGATGTGGCATTTACACAACCTCCATTCTGAAGCATTAGAGCCGATGCTTCTACATTGTCCCATTTACTAGCACAGTGGAGAGGCTCCCAGTGGTCAGATGTTTTAGCTCGTACATCAGCTTTGTAAGAAAGCAAAACCTACAAAAGTAAGCTAGTTCATAAAAATTACCTCACAGAAATGATGAAGACTTTTCTAGAACTGCACTGTTCTTATAAAAACTATAAGAATAATGAGAACTACAGAGTGTCTGAAAAGTCTGGAACCGCATGCTGTCCTTGTATTCAAAACAAGTGTGGATTAACTCAACCTTCTCAGGTTTGGACAACACCAGAATCGGCCGTGTATTTGAAATTAAGGAAAGCTGCAAATCACCTATGGTTCAATATTTTTCAGACACCCTGTATTCACCTACAAATGTACACTGTATGTTTCTTCTATCAGAAATACCCGCAACCACAATATTTAATATTAATCTTTCAACTTATTAATTGGCTCCACTAGATTTATAATAGCATGTAAAACATGGACTGTAGTTTCGATAGGTGAAAACTAAATTTGTGTGAAATCTTTTAAAATGGTTCAAGCCTTATCGCAATCAAAGCAAGAAACACTGGTACGAGTTAATATTGTATATGACATGGTCGTTATAAGTTTTATTAAAGTCTAATGAAGATTTTTCAGCTATGCATTAAATTATGGAAGTAACCAACAAGAGGCACCAGTCTTTATAAGCAGGCGTTCTATTTTAGATTAAATTACAATATCAACTTACCAGGGCTGACCCTAGGGGTGGACAACATGTGCCCCCACACAGGGTGCCAAAATCGACATTGAAATTAGCAGTCCTTATCAGTTTTACAGGGGTAGGGGCACAGAATACAAAGTTCACGCAGACTACAATTTTGCGAAGGTCCAGCTCTGCAACTTACCAATGTTAAAAACTTTTCATGTTGAGACAGGAATAATGCAAGTAATACTGGTGGACTTCTAATACTGGTGGACTTCTAGGGAGTGAAGCATGTCAAGAAATAGTAAGCCAATGGAACTGCTAGCATAAATAACTTCAGGCACTCTCTGGCTCGAAAGGACAACAGAAGCAAGCATGAAGAGGATTTTTTAATTTTACTTCTTTTGTATGCCTAAACTACTTAATCTTGAAATCATCTGCCAAAGGTACAGCAATCGGAGAGAAACGTTAAATTCGGTTGACTCGGCCATACAAATAACATTATGTTTTAAATGGATTAATGTGACTAACATTATTTTTGGAAGAGTGAATCGTTAGGCATAATATTTACCATAAAATCACATTGCCTTCTTAATTTGTCTTTTAGGTATTTCAAAGCAGGGGTGGGTAAAAATTATCATTTCAAATCTAATTGTCTGTCTCACACAAGTCACTGCCCACAATGTCTTTCATTCAATCCCAAAATTTGCGACACTGGAACAAATGATCAATTCTTGTCTCTCATCATCCAGCCCAGATTAATTCTAATATTGACTAAAAATAGTAGTTTGATTAGTTTAATTTGTTTTACTAGTAAGTGCCAGCCCTTTAACTCAGCTGGTAGAGCACTTCCCTGGTGTGCAAGAGATCTTGGGTTTAAACCCGAGACCAGGAAATATATTATAAAAAAAATGCCAACTTGGCAGTGACTTGTGGAAGACAAAAAGTATGACTTGAAACTCTAATGTGACTAACTAAAAGGACTGCGAGAAAGGAAGAATTTTCCAGTTAGTCACGATACTGATCCTTTTCTTAAGCCTAAATCACACGTTAAACAGTTTAGGATTTTTAACCTCACTGCAATATCCAGAATAACACACAGTCTTAGTTTTAGAAACAGTTTAGAAATTGTGTTCAAGTTGAAAATTAACTATAAATATTAGAAACTTTTGTCTACGAAGACAAAAATTGTTTACCAACATCATTTAAAGGTTCTACGTTTTCATAACCAGTATACCGGAAGTGTATATATATATTTTGTTAGCCTACTTAGCCTTGCTAATATTGATGTTTCAAATATTTCAGTATAGTGATATCTATAATATGGAAGTGAACTAAAGCGACTAATTTAGAAACGGCTCTAACCACGTGTTTCTCACATTTATGGCTTCGATGTTATTCATGTAGCATGCTCGATGTAGAGGAGTGTAAGAATCAGAGTCAGTGACATTCACCAAAGATGGATTTTTTTCTAACAGTTCCTTCAGTTTCGATACATCATTTTTCTCGGCTGCAGTCAAAACTACATCATCAAGACCAGTTTCTAGATTAAAAAACAAAACATTTATATGAAGATCAAAACTACATCATCAAGACCAGTTTCTAGATTAAAAACAAAACATTTATATGAAGATCAAAACTACATCATCAAGACCAGTTTCTAGATTAAAAACAAAACATTTATATGAAGATCAAAACTACATCATCAAGACCAGTTTCTAGATTAAAAAACAAAACATTTATATGAAGATCAAAACTACATCATCAAGACCAGTTTCTAAATTAAAAAGAGGAAACAATTACACTAATATGTTATTATTATGTTATAATATGTTATTATTATGTTATAATATGTTATTATTATGTTATAATATGTTATTATTATGTCATAATATGTTATTATTATGTTATAATATGTTATTATTATGTTATAATATGTTATTATTATGTTATAATATGTTATTATTATGTTATGTTATTATTATGTCATAATATGTTATTATTATGTTATAATATGTTATGTCTCGATAAGATACACAATAAAACATCAGTTGATTTGAGAATGGCAAAAACCTACAAGGCAATCAGTCTTTTACATTTGATGAGTGGATTAGGATCTGAAAACCTTCACACACTGGGTAGGTTCCTGGGTTAATTAGAACATGTGACAAACCTAACTAACACTAAAGGACCAAACAGTTCACACACTGGGTTAATTAGAACATGTGGCAAACCTAACTAACACCAAAGGACCAAACAGTTCACACACTGGGTTAATTAGAACATGTGACAAACCTAACTAACACTAAAGGACCAAATAGTTCACACACTGGGTAGGTTACTGGGTTAATTAGAACATGTGACAAACCTAGCTAACACTAAAGAACCAAACAGTTCACACACTGGGTAGGTTACTGAGTTCATTAGAATATGTGACAAACCTAGCTAACACTAAAGAACCAAACAGTTCACACACTGGGTAGGTTACTGAGTTCATTAGAATATGTGACAAACCTAGCTAACACTAACGGACCAAACAGTTCACACACTGGGTGGGTTACTGGGTTAATTATAACATGTGACAAACCTAGCTAACACT